TCAGACCCCCCAGAGAGCTGGCTCTCCAACAAGAGTCTTCAACTCCACAGGGGGATATGCCGGTCCCCACCCACTTCTTATTATCTTCCCCTCCAAGCCATCCCCTGGGCCACCCCAGAATAGGTTCAAAAGGTACTGATTTTTTTTATATATATATCGACAAAGTAGCCTGCTTCTGCCTACTCCAGTTCCTGGAACATTCCTTTCACAAACCTTCCAGGTTCAGGAATGTTCCTACTTCCTCCCAAAGTAGAGGAAGCTCCTCCCCACGTGTGTACACACACACACACACACACACACACACACACACACACACACACACACTCACTCACTCTCTCTCTCTCTACCTCCCGGCCCTGCTAGGTACTACTACTCCCTCAGCCCCTAGGCTACTCCAGCACTCAGACCAAGACGCATCAGCACACTGTGAAAGACCTGGAAATTACAGCCAAGTAGAAAGCTCAGGGTCAGGCTGTCCCCAGAGCACACAAGTTAGATTCTGAAGAGGAGGCTTGCTGGCGGGTTCCACTGCAGGAGAAAAACCAGGAAGGCCAGACAAATTGACCGACAGGCAGGCCTGTGGCCACAAACGAATACAGGAGCCCTCTACGCGAGGCACCAATACATCCCAAGGAGTTCGCACTGCGGGGCTAACACAGAGGCTTAGAAGCCGGCACCTGATGCAAACAAGTGAACAGCTGAACTGAAAACCTGGCAACATCTGCCAGGGAAGTGAGGCCACAGGGCAAATTGCTGCTGTTGCCCTAACTGGACAAAGACAGCTATGCAGAAGCACACATTATCAGAGAAAACAGCTCCACAGGAACCAGGGCCAGAGTCTGAGCCGGGAACTCTGATGGGGGACAGTGGGCACAGGTGCTGGGCTGCTGCCTGCGGCACGTATACCCCACAGGGGGGCACTGCTGGAGTTCTGGCTCCCAGTGTGTGAAACCCAGGGTGTTGGGACTCCTGGCACTGGCCTGAATCAGCCCTGGCTGTTGTAGGACTTGAGGACTGAACCAGTCGGGAGGTTTTTCTCTTCCTCTCTCTCTCTTTCAAATAGATGAAAATAGGCATTATTAAAAAAAAAAAAAAAACACGTTATGGACACAGCGTAGTAGCCTAGCAGCTAAAATTCTCGCCTTGCACACTCTGGGATCCCATACAGGCGCTGATTCAAATCCCAGCAGCCCCACTTCCCATCCAACTCCCTGCCTGTGGCCTGGAAAAGCAGTCAGATGGCCCAAAGCCTGGGGACCCTGCACTCGCGTGGGAGACCTGGAAGAGCTCCTGGCTTCAGATCAGCTCAGCTCCAGCTGTTGTGGCCACTTGGGGAGTGAACCAACAGGCAGAAGACCTTCCTCTGTGTCTCTCCTTCTCTCTGTATATCTGACTTTGCAATAAAAAATAAATAACTTTTTAAAGAATGCCTTGTTACCCCTGTAACGATGTGTCTGTGGACATCTATGAACTGAAGGCAAAGAAACGCAACCTTAGGGAAGTGGAGCCAGCTTGTTCCCTGAAGGCTCAGGATCCACCACTTCACTTTGAAAATAAAAGTTGACTTCATTCACGAGCCTGGGAGACAGTGAGATGTGCCACCCACCATTCACTGCCCAGAGAGCTGCAGACAGCAGGGCCGCAGACAGCAGGCAGAGGAGCGGGGAGCCGCAGCTCAGTCCAGCTCCCCAAGTGCAGCGGCACAGAGCACAGCACCAAGCTTTGGAGGGTGCTCAGCCACAGGAGGCTGGGATGCGGAGCTCAGCTCAGCACCCACACACAGCACAGACGAGCCAGCCCGCATCTCCACTGCTGTCCAGCCCAAAGCCTTGCACCTTCCGTAAGATTCACTTCTCTGGAAGAAGCTGGATGGGCGAGCTCCCTGCTTGTGGCTTGGGAAAGCAGCAGAGCACGGTCCGAGCCCAGCCTGGGAGACCCAGAAGCTCCTGGCTGCCAATCAGCTCAGCTCCAACTGTTGTAGCCAGCAAATAGAAGATCTTTCTCTCTGCACATCTGCCTTTCCAATGAAAAATCTCTAGAAAAAATCAACAATAACAAGCTGGCTGGGAGGCAGAACACGGGACCCAAATGGGCCCTCAGGTGTGACTCCAGCATCAGAAGGCAGCCTTCTGCAGCCGCAGCACCGGCTCCTGACCCGCTTGCAACACACCAAGCACCTCAGGAGACTACTTTGCAAGAGCCTAAGCCTAAACGACTCAGGGGAGGGAAACACAACCCTGGCCTCTGGCCGCCCCGTCCCATCCAAGGGCACTAAGAGGGAGACGGAGCAGCACCACAGGCACACGCAGCATCAGCGAGTGCAGACGGGACAGATCTCCCACTCACTGCTGAGCACAGGAAGCAGCTAAGGTGCCTGGAATCCAGCTTCCTATCACACACCTGGAAGGCAGCTCCCCACAAGGGAGACCGAGTCTCTGGTTCCTGGGCTGGGTCCCCTCCTGCCCCTGTCCAGTCCCTGCGACTCTGAGCATGTCTATGTATAAAAAAAAAAAAAAAAAAAACAAGCAACCTCTCAAAAAAACTTGCTCAACTTGATAAAGAACATCCATAAAAATTAACTAGGGCTGGCATTGTGGCACAGCCAGTAAAGCCACCACCTGCATTGCCAGCATCCCATAGGGGTGTGGTTTGAATCCCAGTTGTTCCACTTTGTATCCAGCTCCCTGCTAACACTCTAGGATGACCCAGACCCTTGGAACCTGAAGAAGGCTCCTGGCTTCAGATCAGCCCAGCTCTGGCCGTAGCGACCATCTGGGAACTTCACCAGTAGACGAAGGTCTCTGTCCCTCCCTCTCTGCAAGTTGCGGCTACAGGGCTCCCATAGTGGAGGACTGGGTCCCCAAAGTGCTAAGTCAATGAGTGACAGTTTAAAAGGTAGAGACTTATGGGATTACGGCACCCCAAAGTGGATTTAGTAGCAACACCTGATCCCACCTGGGCACCAGTTCACATCTCAGCTGTTCCAGGAGCTCCCTGCTCCTGGCCTGGAAAAGGCAGAGGATGGCCAAAGCATCTGTGCCCCTACCATCTACTGACCCCGGCCAAGCCCAGTCCCAGTTCCGCTGCCACCTGCGGAGGGGACCAGTGGATTAGTGGATTAGGATTCCTCCCTCCTGCTATGGAATACTGACTTTCAGAATTAATTAATTAAAAAACTTATTCAAATTAAAAAGAAAAAGGAGGGGGCCCGGCGCGGTGGCGCAAGTGGTTAAAGGTCCACGCCTTGCACACCCGGGATCCCATATGGGCGCTGGTTCTAATCCCGGCAGCCCCGCTTCCCTTCCAGCTCCCTGCTTGTGGCCTGGGAAAGCAGTCGAGGATGGCCCAAAGCTTTGGGAACCTGCACCCGCGTGGGAGACCCGGAAGAGGCTCCTGGCTTCGGATCGGCATAGTATCGGCCCGTTGCGCTCACTTGGGGAGTGAATCATCGGACGGAAGATCTTCCTCTCTGTCTCTCCTCTCTGTATATCCGCCTTTCCAATGAAAAAATAATAAAAATAAATCTTTAAAAAAAAAAAAAAGAAAGAAAAAGAAAAAGGAGGGTATGAGGCCAACACAATGAATAGCTCGTCTAGCTAATCCTGCACCACCTGCATGGACCTGCAGCCTATGCCCCTGTTGATCCACAGCCTGGTACTCCACTTGCCATCCAGCTCCATGAGGACGCCCAAGGCCTTGGGACCCTGCACCAGCACAGGAGACCCAGAAGAAGCTCCTGGCTCCTGGCTTCCGATCGGCACAGCTCCGGTCCTTGTGGCCACTTGAGGAACCAGCGGACGGAAGGTCTTGCTGTTTCTCCTTCTCTCTGTGAATCTGCCTCTCTGATAAAAATAAGCCTTAAAGTTTAAATAAACAAACAAAGCTGGCCCAAGGGTAGGCTTAGGTCACAGGGTAGGGGGGGTTCACCCATGGAAGTTAGCTGGATCAAAGTGCAGCAACTAGGACGCACATCCCTTGTGGGATTACCAGCGAAGGCAGCAAAGCTGGCCACATGTCTGGGCCCATCACCAATGACGAGTCCCAGATGGAAGGCCTGGCTCCAACCCGGCCCAGACTGGGTTGTTCCAGCCATTTGCAGGACAAACCAGGGGATAAAGCATCTCTCCCAGCACCCTACGTTTGACACTGTGCCTTTCAAATAAATATTTGACGCTGTGCCTTTCAAATAAATATTTCCTTTAAAAATAAAGTGTATTCATTTTTTTAAAAGGATGTATTTATTTACTTATTTACTTATATTGGAAAGTCAGAGATTTACAGAGAGAAGGAAAGAGAAAAATCTTCACTCTGCTAGTTTACTCCCCAGATGGATGTAATGGCTGGAGCTGAGCTGACCAGAAGTCAGGAGCCAGAACTTCCTCCAGGTCTCCCACGCGGGGGCAGGGTCCCAAGGCCCTGGGCCGTCCTCGACTGCTTTCCCAGGGCACAATCAGGGAGCTGGGTGGGAAGTGGGGCCGTCAGGACAGGAACCAGCGCCATATGGGATCTCAGCGCTGATCAAGACCAAGATGAGGACTTTACCACTAAGTCACCGCCCCAGGCCCCGGGCTATTCATTTTTAAAATGAGAGAGGGAGTCATCCAAAAATACAGATTTTCACAGTAAATAGTTAAAGCAAAGTATAAATGAAACTTTATCTTCAAAAATAAAATTTAAGCTGATCTTACACGTAATCTGAATGAGGCAACTCATACAACTAGGGACCTATACTGAAAATACAAAACAAGTAGGAAGTTTGGGTATAGTTTTCCCCCTAATATTTTAGGATGACACTGTTAGTTACAATTCGCTCCCTATGTGATTTCTGCTGCCATCACTGTGCCCGGGCATCTGAAGCTGCCAGTCTCGAGGCCCCATCCACCTGCCACATCTGAGTGCTGGCACTTGCCTGGGCTCCTCCCACCTTTTGTTTTGTTTGGATGCACAGTGAGCTAGTAGCACATTACATTCCCCACAGCCATTTCTAGTCCCAGCATTCTATGGGTACGGGAGCTTGGAGGCTGGCCGGCAGTGGTGACATCCAAAGACAACACCAGACCAGTATTACGATCTCGTCTACCACACGGTGTGTGTGAAAAGGAAGATCTGAATGCAAAACAGACACTGCTACAGACTAAAGCCACGCACCCACTCCGTCCAATTCCAGGTGCAGGTACAACGGGGAGAGCAGTGGGGAAACCGCCAGCAGTCTCCACACCGCCCTCACGAAACTCCAAGCGTGGCCAAGCTGCAGCTCCTGTGGTGACCGTGCCTGCTTTATCAACCGGCAACAGGCCCGCCAGTAAAAACAGACTGAAAACCCCTTGACTTGAGACGCGGGGATGGACACAGGCTGCGAGGAGTGGGCATGCGGGGATGGACACAGGCTGCGAGGAGTGGGCATGCATGTGTCACTAAACGGTCAGTGAACTTTCACTTTCCACGGAACAAGCACTCTTGGCTTCTGCCTGCACCACTCCTATTCTTGGGAGTCTGCTATCAAGTCTCCTACCGGGCCTGGCATAGTAGCCTAGTGGCTATACCCTCACCTTGCATGCACCAGGATCCCATATGAGTACCAGTTAGTATCCAGGACGCTCCATTTCCCATTCAGCTCCTTTCCTGTGGCTTGGGAAAGCCCGGCACAGTAGCCTAGTAGCTAAAGTCCTCTTGCATGTGCCAGGATCCCATACGGCTGCTGGTTTGTGTCCCAGCTGCTCTACTTCCCATCCAGCTCCCTGCTTGCGGCCTGGGAAAGCAGTCAAGGACGGCCCAAAGCCTTGGGACCCTGCAGCTGCATAGACACCTGGAGGCTCCTGGCTTCGGATTGGCGCAGCACCGACCTTTGTGGCCACTTAGGGATGAATCAGCGGGTGGAAGATCTTCCTCTCTGTCTCTCCTGCTCTCTGTTATCTGACTTTCCAACACAAATAATCTTTTAAAAATTAATTAATTGGGCCCGGCGCGGTGGCGCTAGTGGTTAAAGGTCCTCGCCTTGCACACCCGGGATCCCATATGGGCGCCAGTTCTAATCCCGGCAGCCCCGCTTCCCATCCAGCTCCCTGCCTGTGGCCCGGGAAAGCAGTCGAGGACGCCCAAAGCTTTGGGACCCTGCACCCGCGTGGGAGACCCGGAAGAGGCTCCTGGCTTCGGATCGGCATAGTATCGGCCCGTTGCGCTCACTTGGGGAGTGAATCATCGGATGGAAGATCTTCCTCTCTGTCTCCTCTCTGTATATCCGCCTTTCCAATAAAAAAAAATAATAAAAATAAATCTTTTTTAAAAAATTAATTAATTAAAAAAATATTTATTTGAAAATCAGGCAGACACACAGGGGCAGACAAAGAGATCGTCCATCTGCTGGCTCATTCTGCCAGATGGCCAAACGGCCCACTGGCCCAGGCCGAGGCCAGCAGCTTTGTCTGCGTCTATCATGTGGGTGTGGGGCCCTAACACTTGGGCCACCTTGCGCTGCTTTTCCAAGCCAGCAGCACTGAGCTGGATAGAAGTGGAGCAGTCTTTCCCCCTCTCTGTAAATCCGCCCTCCAAATAAAAATAAACATAAATCTTTCAAAAATATAAAGGTCCTTCCTGGCACCACAGTGCAGCGGGTTAAGCCTCCACCTGCAGTGCTGATATCCTCCAGGGGCCTCAATTCATGTGCTGGCTGCTCCATTTTCGATCCAGCTCCCTGCCTGCAGCCTGGGAAAGCAGCAGAGGACCGAGTCCCCGCACCCAAGTGGGAGAGCAGGACGAAGCTCCAGCAGATGCGGCCACCTGGGGAATGAACCAGCAGATGGAGGATCTCTCTCTCCTTTCTGTAAATCTGCCTTTCCAACTGAAGCAATAAATAAAAAGCCCCCTGAGTCTGTGGGGACTCCCAGGCCGGCAGCGAACACGCAGTAACCTGCCACGCTGCGTGGCGGGCGGACCCCGCAGGGCGCTGCCACCCGGGCCCCAGGCTGCCAGGGGGCGGGGGCAGAACCCGCTTTGTTCCCGGAGCCCCCACCCTTGTGGCACGGATCACGCAACACCTTTTGTTTGCTTTTTTTCTTTTCTGCTTTGCTCCTGAGCCAGAGCTCACCCAGGGAGCCAGGGGCGTGAGCTCGGCAGCGGCGGGGCAGGGGGGGCGGGGCGGCCACGGGAGGGGGCTTGGGGGGGCGCGCGCACGCACACACACACCACGCACACACACACACCCACACACACACACCCCATCCATACACACACACCCACACACCACGCACACACACCCACACACACACACACACCCACACACCCCACGCACACACACACACCTCCCCACACACACCCCACACACACACACACCCCACCCCACGCACACCCCCACACACCACACCACGCGCACACACACACACACACCACACACACACACCTCCCCACACACACCCCACACACACACACCCCACCCCACGCACACCCCCACACCCCCACACACCACACCACGCACACACACACACACCACACACACACACACCCCCACACACCACGCACACACACACGCACACACACACACCACGCACACACACACGCACACACACACACCACGCACACACACACACCACGCGTACACACACCACGCACACACACACACCACACACACACACACCACACCACGCACACACACACCACGCACACACACCACACCACGCGTACACACACCACGCACACACACCACACCACACACACACACACACACACACACACCACGCACACACACCCCACACACACACACCCCCACACACCACGCACACACACACCACACACACACCACACCACGCGCACACACACCACGCACACACACCACCCACACACACACCACGCACACACACACCACACACACACACCACACACCACACACACACACACACCACACACACCACACACACACACCACACCACACACACACACCACACCACGCGCACACACACACACCACGCACACACCTCACCACGCGCACACACACACACCCCCACACACACACCACACCACGCGCACACACACACACACACCACGCACACACCTCACCACGCGCACACACACACACACCCCCACACACACACCCCCACACACACACCACGCGCACACACACGCGCGCGACCGCGACGAGCAGGGCGAGGCCGACCCTCCCGCTCTCGGCAGGCGCCACACCTCCCGGCCCGGCGGGGGAGGAGTGCCCGCGGTGCCCGCGGTGCCCGGCGCCACCAACAAGCGACTCTGTGCTGAGCGTGGGGCCGAGGGAAGGTCGGCTCCCCGGCTCGGCCGGCCCCGGCCCGCGAGGGAACACAGCCGGCATTGTTCCCCGGCCGCCGCCCACCCCGGCCCCCGGGCCCACCTGATGACACTGATGTGGAACTGGTCCTCGCGCAGACCCCGCCAGGCGCCGGGCAGGAACTCCTTGCACCACAGATAGGCCCTGCGCCGCGTGCGGGGCTCGGGCTGCTCGGCGGCCGCGGGCGGCGGGGACACCGGCTGCCCGCCGCCCCCCAGCTGCTTGGCCTCGAGCGCGCTGCCCGCGTCCCGCTGCGGCTGCCCCGCGCCGGGCGCCGCCGGGGCCCCTCCGCCGCAGCTCAGCAGCAGCCCGAGCGCCGAGGGCTCCGCCTCGTCCCCGGTACAGAACTTGGTCTTCATGCCGGACGGGCGGCCCGCGGTGCCGGAGGACGAGGCTCTGAGGGCCGGCGAGCGGCGGTTGAGAGCGCTCCGCGGGGCGGAGGGCGGCGGCTGAGGAAGGCGAGCGAACGGCGCCGGAGGCGGCTGAGGAGAAGCGGAGGCGGCTGAGGCGAGCGGGCGGCTGGCGTTCGAGAACCGGCGCTCGCTCCTATACGGCCGCCGCCGCACGAGGAGCGCCGGCCGCGTCACAGCCCGCCCTCGCGCCGCCCGCTGATTGGCCGCCGCGGCGCATCCAACCAGCGCAGCCCTCGCCACGCCGGCCTCCCATTGGCTGCGGCGCCCGGCCGCAGGCGGTGTCGGGGAGCTGGGCGGGCGCCGAGGGAAGGGACGGGCCGGGGGACCCGGCGGCGGCGGGCGTGGGCGCGTGGGGTTGCTGAGGGCCGCGGGGTGCCGCGCCGGGGAGGCCGGGCAGTGCGGCGGAGCCCACGCTCCGTGGGCCCGGCTTCCCCCGGGGAGCCCCGCGGCCTCGGAGGTCGGGCTCCTGGAGGGGGGCAAGCAGGAAGCCGCTGCCTGGAGGCCGCGCGTGACCTTGGGGCCCGGCCTGGTGGAGAGAGCCGGGGCGGGGCGGGGAGGTGTTGGAAGCCGCTCCCTGGACCGGGGGAATCGGGTGGAGGTGGGCGGCCTCAGTTTCCCTGTCCGTGGTGCTGAGGCGCGGACGCGCGTGGCCGCTGGCCCGGGGTGCGGGCCACGGGCTGCGGGCTCCCTGCCCCCTGCGGGAGGCAGCGAGTGACCCTGACTGAGGCACCGTGGTCCCTGGAGCGTGGGCGGCGGGACGAGGGTCTGTTTACCTCACCCCGTTCTGTGTGTGACCTTCACTGCTCTTTGGTCCCCTGCCACCTCTGTCCTTCGCGACATTAAATGAGATTACGCTTGAGAAATACAAAAACATCAGAGCCCTTTTGGTGTGGGATAGAAAGCCCAGCTGCCCAGCTGAAACCAAACATCTCTTCTAGAACTAGTGTTCTACTCCAAAAACCATAATAATTCTTAACAAAGGGTTTAAAAAAAAAATGGGGGCCCGGTGTGATGGCTCAGTGACTAAATCCTCACTTTGTAAGCACCGAGATCCTATGTGGTCACCAGTTTTTTGTCCAGGCTGCTCCACTTCCCATCCAGCTCTCTGCTTGTGTCCTGGGAAAGCTTCCGGATGACCCAAAGCCTTGGGACCCTGCATCCGTGCGGGAGACCCGGAAGAAACTCCTGGCTTCAGATGGACTCTGCTCCGCTGGTGGAGGCCACCTGGGGAGTAAACCCACAAAGGGGGTTTTTTCTGCCTGTCCTCCTCTCTGTGGATCTGATCTGCCTTTCCAATAAAAATAAACAAATCTTTAACAAGCAGGCAGAGATAGCAGGGCTTTGGGATGTGTGCACTGGCTGTGTGCAGAGGTCAGAATTCAAGGCTTCTGGTCAGATAAGCAAGCCAAGGACTTAGCTGCTATAAATACCATCCCCCCAGCCAGCGGGCAGAGTGGGGCCTCCTAGGGGACAGGCCTTGGTCATCCCAGGGCCCCAGGCTGCTCATCTCAGCAGGGTCCTAATCTGGCTGGGGAAAGGGGCACCCAGAAGGGAGGTTAGAAATGGCCCTGCCTCGCTTCAGGCTCTGGTCCAGACTACGCCAGGCCCTCCTTCAGGAGATGGCACTCGCATGCAAACTCTTGGACCCAAAAATTGGGAAACAAAACAAAAATAGGATAGTGGAGTGCAGTCCGACCTTGCCCCCCAGGGCTCTGGGACTGCTCTGCGGTGGGCATGGCAGCAGCTTCTGGCCCTGGTCCATGACTCACCTTTTCTTTCACAGCCAAATCCTGTCCAGGCTGAATGCTAAGGCTGGGACTAAGCTCCAGTTCTGCGTCCACTCCTGTCCCCTTCTCCCCACCCTGAACCCTGGGTTCTGCTAGAGGAGCCGTGGCCCACTGCTACGTCCTGTCTCCGTGCCACTTTCAATGATCTCAGCCCTTCTCTAAAAGGGTTTAGACAAGAGCCCACCAACAGGTGAACACAGAAGTGATAAAGCAGATGAGGTGTTTGATATAGATCCACCCCAGCATACCCCACACATCCCCGTACAGCTCCTCCCTCAGGGAGACTCGAGCTAGCTCATGAGAGACAAACCTTTGGCACAGCAGTTAAGCCCTGGGAGCATGGACTGCCTGCATCCTGTATTGGAGGCTTGGTTCAATTCCGGATACTCCACTTCCTATCCAGCCCTTATGATGCAATCATTGGGGACAGTAGGAGATGGCGCAAGAGTTTGGGCCCCTGCCATTCCCCAGGAAGACTTGGCTGGGGTCCCGCACTGGCAGGCATTTGGGGAAATGAAGCAGCAGAGCAAACTGCTCTCTTCCCAGCACCTCCCACCCCGCCTCCAGCCTCTCATTAAATTAATAAAATAGCAATAATAAGTTGTTGGGAAAATGAGCTATAAAGCACATTTGCCTTGGTGCAAAAGGTTTTTGATATCTGGACCCGGCGCCGTGGCTCAGTCGGCTAATCTTCCACCTCTAAGCACAGGGATCACATCTAAGTGCTGATTCAAGTCCCGCGTGTTCCACTTCCCATCCAGCTCCCTGCTTGCGGCCTAGGAAAATAGTAGAGGATGTCCCAAAGGCTTGGGACCCTGCACCTGCCTGGGAGACTGGGAAGAAGCTCCTGGCTCCTGGCCTCGGATTGACTCAGCTCCAGCTGTTGCAGCCACTTGGGGAGTGAACCGGCAGATGAGAGGTCTTTTCTCTCCTCTCTGCAAATCTGCCTTTTCAATAAAAGCAAATATTTAAAACATTAATCTATTTGCAAGGGCAAAGTTACAGGGAAAGGAAAAGATCTTCCACCGCCTCAGCTGCCTTCCCAGGCACACCAGTAGGAAACGGGATTGAAACTGCAGCAGCGAGGGTGAACAGGCTCCCATATGGGACTGCCAACATCACAGTGCTGTTTTCACCCACTGTGGCACAGAGTCAGCCAGGAGATGAATGTTCGTCCCTCAGTTGTAATAGCCAGGGCACGGGATGCTTGTGCGGGCCAAATAGGAGGGTGGGTGGCAAGTACATGGTGCCAGGAACCACCCACGTCCAGGTGGCAGGCAGGGGGCTGACTGGCACAGCCTCTGTGCCAGGTGGCAGTCACAGATGACCCGTGCGCACACTGTAGCAGCATATAGTCGAGGAGCACAGCACACCGTGGGCACCCAAAACTGGGCATGCGTGGACAAAGTCTGGGGTGGCACTGGTCCCGGGAGGAGCTTTTTCCAGGTATAAAGACTTTCATTTATTTTTTAAGAGGCAGGCTTAATTTTTTATATATACTTACTTTTTTTAAAAAAAGAAGTATTTATTTGGGGCTCGGCACGGTGGCCTAGTGGCTAAAGTCCTCACCTTGAAAGTGCTGGGATCCCATATGGACACAAGTTCTAATCCTGGCAACTCCACTTCCCATCCAGCTCCCTACTTGTGGCCTGGGAAAGCAATCAAGGATGGCTCAAAGCTTTGGGACCCTGCACCCATGTGGGAGACCTAGAGGAAGTTCCTGGCTCCTGGATTTGGATCAGCACAGCATGGGCCGTTGTGGCCACTTGGGGAGTGAATCATCAGACGGGAGATCTTTGTCTCTCCTCCTCTGTATATCTGATTTTGTAATAAAAATAAATACTTTTTTTAAAGATTTATTTTATTTTTATTGGAAAGGCAGATATACAAAGAGGAGAGACAGAGAGGAAGATCTTCCGCCCGATGATTCACTCCCCAAGTGAGCGCAACGGCCGATGCTATGCCGATCTGAAGCCAGGAGCCTCTTCCAGGTCTCCCATGTGGGTGCAGGGTCCCAAAGCTTTGGGCCATCCTCAACTGCTTTCCCAGGCCACAGACAGGGAGCTGGATGGGAAGTGGGGCTGCCGGGATAGAACCGGCGCCCATATGGGATCCCGGGCGTGCAAGGTGAGAACCTTAACCACTTGCGCCACCGCGCCAGGCCCAATATATATATATATATATTTTAAAGATGTATTTATTTGTACTGGAAAGGCAGATTTACAGAGAGAAGGAAGGACCAAAAAAAAATCTTCTACATACTGGTTCACTCCATAAATGTCTGCAACAGCTACAGCTGAGACGACCTAAAGCCAGGAACTTCTTTCAAGTCTCCCACGTGGGTGCAGGGATCCAAAGTCATTCTGTGCTGGCTTCCCAGCAGGCAGAGAGCTAGATCAGAAGTGAGGCAGTCCGGACTGAACTGGTGCTATAGGGGATGCCAACACTGCAGATGGAGGATTAGCCTGACATGTCACTGTGCCAGCCCAATTATTTTAGTTTTTTTTTTTTTTAAAGATTTATTTTTATTATTTTTTCATTGGAAAGGCGGATATACAGAGAGGAGAGACAGAGAGGAAGATCTTCCGTCCGATGATTCACTCCCCAAGTGAGCGCAACGGGCCGATACTATGCCGATCCGAAGCCAGGAGCCTCTTCCGGGTCTCCCACGCGGGTGCAGGTTCCCAAAGCTTTGGGCCGTCCTCGACTGCTTTCCCAGGCCACAGACAGGGAGCTGGAAGGGAAGCGGGGCTGCCGGGATTAGAACCGGCGCCCATATGGGATCCTGGGCATGCAAGGCGAGGACCTTAACCACTTGCGCCACCGCGCCGGGCCCTATTTTAGTTTTTAAAAAAGATTTATTTATGTGAGAGAGAGAGAGATCTTCCATTTGCTAGTTCACTCCCCAAATGCCCACAGTGGCCAGGTTAAGCCAGGCAGGAGCCAGGGACTCCGGCCATGTCTCGCATGTGGGTGGCAGGGACCCAAGCAATGGAGCCAACTTCCTATGCTTTTGCAGGCACATTAGCAGGAAGCCAGAGCAGAAGTACAGCAGCCGGGAGGTGGCAGCTTCAGTCAATATGCCACACCATCAACAACCGCCCCCCCCCGCTGTTACAAAATCTTTTCTCCTGGGACAAAACAAAAAAATGTTCTATAAGCTCTGTGCACTAAGGGGGAGACGTGAAGGAAGCTTCTGGCTCCTGAGTGGGTGGGTCCCTGATATCTGTGCGGGACCCAACTTTTCGTGCCAACAGCCTCTGCCTTTGCAGGCACATTACAAAGAGGCTGGACAGGAAA